CCAAATTTCTAGTATTACAGTGACAAAGAGGTGCAATAGCATCCACTTGACAGTAATTGCCTGGCAGCCAGTCCACTCGACTGGTCCGTGAGTCCCGGTGGAATGGATTGGAGAGGACTAAGCAGTCAATCAGGGTAGATTGAGACTCTTCAAGTGAGAGATAACTTTTCAGCTCCCAGCTGGACGTCTTCTCCATGTCAAGGGTGATAACAGAAATATCATGTTCTCAGAGTTATTCATTTGAGGAGGAAAATACATTTAAAAAGTCTCACAGTTTATCTCTGAGAAGCTGAAACCACTGGTTTTGCACATGACTGCTCATTTAATTGATGGGACTGATTTATCCTCCTTCAGCTCCAGGTTTATCTTCCAGGCGTCTGCTTTATGTTTCAAACATCCTGGAAACACCGCTGTTATGATCATTCATTTACTGAGTCTTCACGTCAGACAGGATGGAGAACGACGAAAAGCTGAACGAGAGTTTATTTATCCACCGGCTATTTTTGCTGAGGACTTAGATGATTTCACACAGTCTGAATGGCAGATGGTCTCTGGTCAAACTGTAACAGAAACATTTCTGAACTGTGTTTGATCTCGGTTTAGAAAAAAAAAGGGCTAAGAGTGTTTCATTAACTCAAGGGCCACTTGTTTCTAAGCTCCAGATTAAAGGGATTTTTAAAACACACTGAGCTTAGAAAAAAGTCCACCCCCCAGTTCTGCAAGTCTGTTCTTTCGCCACATTTATGTCGCTGTAATTTAGATTTAGCTGAGTATTTATACAGTCAGGAGATGACGGTTCATTTTCCCCAAAGTTTCATTTGGGGGCACCCTTTGGCATCTCTAAGGTTAATTCATTAAATCTAAGTTACAAGTGTACTGATGCAAAACAGTGTCTTAATCACTGCATCATCAGTGAATACATTTCCTTTCCTGCATCTAAGCTCTGTCTTCTGTTGGAACAGCAGAGGGACTTCAGTTCAGGCGTAAACAGCTGTGGTTTGTAAATCAAACGATGACTTCTGCTCCATACGTCAGGTCATATGGAAAGGTCTGCGTCATCCAACGCTATTTCATCCTCCATAGTCTTTGAAAAAATGCATCTCTGACTCTCAGTTGTCCGGTGAAGTTTTCCTTTGTACATATTCCACACATGGAGTTACTTGACTTCAGTTTGACCCGAGGTCAAAAGGTGGCTCGCGGTGGATTTTTTTTATTGTATTTCATAGTTTTCAAGGTTGAAAATGAAAACATCCAACACCACAAGTGACCAAAGTAAGTTGTTACTAATGAGAGGGTTCTAATTATAGAGCTGTTATTGTTGGAGCTTTGCATGTGGTGAAAAGAATGGAGACGAATGAAGACGAAAAATAGATTAAATGGTTGATTGACTGAAACCAGCAGCTTGTCAGTATATAAAAATATGTATTGCAACTTTCATTCCTTTCCTTTTCTATCTGGCTAGAGTTTATTATAATCTCTGTAAAAAACACATTTCAATCAAATAGTCCAACCTCTATCCTGCTTATTAATTGATGAAAGTAAAACTATTTCTTATTTCCACCTTAATATGATGTTTGTAGATTAAAAACACATCGAGGAGTTTGACATGTGTGTCCTTATATTGACAAGATTCGTATTTAGCATCAGATATGATTTGCGTGTTTATCATCAAACGCCATTTAAATATTCAGGACGCCCATCAGGCGCCAACAGTAAGAAATTATGTTAATTTTATGCCATCAAATCATGTTTGCTATTGTGAGAGTACAAAGACGGCAGATTAAGCTCCTGACACTAACAAACATGAGGCTGACTTCAGGGCTGCTGCATAAATGCTCCTAATGTGAATGTCACCCCAAAGAGATAAAACTCTGCTCAGGTGGGTTAAAACCTCGGTGAGAGAATTGGTTTGACATTCACTTTTTTTAACCTCGGAATTGTAGAAGTCTGTATGTAGGAGTCCTAAATGTCACGGCTGTTCTTCGCCCACTTTCACCTCAAGATTCCCAGGCCAAACGTGGCTAAAAATTAAACTTGACTTCTTTCCCAACTCTTCGAGAATCATCAGTTTTTCCTTTTTTGATTTTTTTGCATGCAGTGTTTGTGCTGCAGGGCCACAGTCAGTGAAAGGTTACGCCTCCTGTGTCGTGATTATAAATAGACTCACGCAGACTTGGCTGCAGCGTCAAACTAATGCAGCGGTAGCTGGATTGATTTGATTCATTTACACGAGTGCAGCCAGGGTGACTTTCAACACAATGACAGAAGATGATATTATACAGCCAAATAGGCAGCTAAGTAAATAAACTGCAGTGTTTGAAAGAGATACAATTGGGCCACACTGGACGCAATGAGAGTTTTTCTTTTTTTTTTCCTTCTTCTTCTTATTCGATGGTGAATGTTTACCATAAATTACTTGTTTCAAGTGGATCAACCTACAGAACCCACATCATTAAAATGCAATGAGAAGCTGATGAATAAAAACCTTCTGAGCCCATATTTGATTAACCCAGTGTTTGGAGCAGGATGGAAACCAAGCAGAGAGCAGTTCCAGTGCTGTTTGTCAAGTTATTAGGCATTTCATGGAGCAGAGAGATTAGTCTGTAATTACCATAGACAAAGGCTTAGTGAAATAAAACCTCTCCGTTCATTATCTGTTTGTGTTTTATTGAAAAAGAAAAAAAAACCTGGGCTGTGGAAGTCTGTTGTAAGTCAAAAAGTTCTAAGGCAAAATCTTTAATTAGACATTGAGTTTCCATCAGAGAATTCTTTCTTTGTAGAATACTGTAGAATATTTGCACTGTTGTACGTCTTCCACCTCAGGTGATTCTTATCCCTGTCTGACGTTTACTTCCTTTTAAAAGTTATTTTCATGAAAATAAATTTTTAAAAATATAATTTCTACTTGTTTTACATTTGAATTTGGGTAAAACCTGATGTTGGTTTTTAAGTGTCTTTCTTCATTAGTCACTGTGTTCATAGTAAGGTTTCCCTACTGAGAGATTTACTGCACGATCCAGAGGGAATCCATTACCACAGTACAGTTATCTCAGTCAAATGTTAACACCCTGAAAGTGATAGGATTTTATATGAGACTGTTAAAAATCTCCACATTAAAGGTTTGATTGAATGCAGTGAGATAAGTCAGAGGTTCCAGCAGGTCGTGCTTCACACAGGAGGAGGAGACGCTGTGTTTCCAGCAGGTCTGGGACATAAATTCTCCGAAGAGCCACATGCTATGAATTTCTCCTGCAGACTGAGGTGATAATATATCTTATTCCACTGATTCGATTGCTGCCAGAGGAATGTAGGCTGTCATCTCCTTATAACTGTGCACAATTCAGCCTGATTTACAGCAGTTTTATATGCATCACACAGACTAACCCCGTCAGTCTGGACTGATGGTAAAGCAGTGACCTCTAGGGCCAGTTATGACACGGGCTTTCATGATTTATCAGTTTTTACTATATATATATTTTTTAATGGATGGAGGCTTTTGTAGTCATTTGTTTAGGTACTTTCTTCATGTGATGTCTCTCTTAAAGGTCATGCTCATACAGCGTACGACCTAAAGCACATATTTCATGTATGGCATTTGGATGATATGCTTCAGCATAAATAGCAAACATTCATTGCCTGTGTGATTGCTATTGATCTGCCGGGGGCTGCTTCAGGGCAGCCTGAGAGTGTCGAGGATTGCGTGGCAGTACGATGCACCGCGACACTCCACTACGTTTAATATGGAGCACCGCTCCGTATGGAATGTCATTTGCTTTTGTTTGCAGATACAGATTATTGCGATCAATGGGAAGCGATTTAGTCTCGACCCCTTGTTCACGCATTTCAGTTATTTTTCAAAAGTAGGGATAAAAGCTTTGCTGGATGGACAGGTGATGAATACATCAGCAGAAAAATAAATACTGGCACGTGAGGTGTTTGGTCAGCAGAATATGTGTGTCCTTGTTGGTGTGTGTGAGCGGCCAGGAAGGGAATGAACGCGCCAGAGCTGATTGATATTCAGTCTATGTGTACAAGTCATCAGCATATATCAACTACTGTCTTGATCTAACTGGCCAAGAGAAGAGAAGTGTTACACGCTCTTTGGCCCCAGTGCTTTTTTTTTTTTTTTAGAATTGGCCAATCCTGGGTGCTGCCTGACTTTTCCTCTACAATAAAGCTACCTCTATTGTAGAGTGGGTAATCCAATTGACAGTGTAAGTGACATCATGTTTTAATCCACCCAATATGTTGCTTACACATTTCTGCTAACACCTAGCGTGGAGATAAGGCTGTTGCCACGGTGACTCGTGTGTCATTTTCTTGGTCTTGTCCCAGTGACAAGAATCTCTTCTTGTCTCCTTTTTTCCCCCTCTCACTGTTTATCTTGTTCCAGGCCGCGGGGGCAACGCTCCCAGCAGAGGTGGCCCAGTTATCCTTTCCCCAGCAACTGTCAACATCTTCACTGTAGGCAGGCCTAAGTGAGATGTAATTCCTCCAGCCTGTCTGCAAGGAGGTCTGCAATCATCTCACAGAGCAGCTGTCCCTGTAGAGAACCAGTGGCTCTGAGCTGCTCTAACTCAGAACCATAATGTCCCATGGAGCAAACTCAGGACTGTTAATATTTTTACCATATACATTTATGATATCATTTTGTTATAATCAAAGTGTTCATTAAAAAAACTAAATGTTCCATAAGATCATTTTTTTATTTGAAATCTATTTGAAATTTTTTTTTTGCATCCTGCACCTACTGGCGCGCAGTGTTATTGCACCCAGAGTTGTTCCAGAAATTATTCTAAAAAAAAAGGTGAATATGTTAAAGTGGTTTGTTTGCATCAGCTGTTTTTTTTTTCAGGGTTACTGTTATCATAGTGACTGATATCACAGTGTTATCTAATGTAATCAAAGACATCTTTATTTCCTTTAACACTGATAAAAATATGAAACCAAAGCAGGAGAACAGTGGGTCCATTCCCATCTAACCACTGCGTCTGTTCCAGGAGACACTTGGAGAAAATTCCGGAGTACATGGACCAGTGGAGGACAGGAAGGAGAAGGTGCCCAGTCCCCATCTGAGCCAGCTGGTCGTCCTCACCAACAGTGGGAATCTTTATGGACTCGCACAAAGGGTAGTGGCAACCGAGTCTCTGTGAGTAAACAAGAGACAAGACAAAGACAGAGAACGACCAGCCTGTTACCAGTCATTACTGTTGTTAACATTACTGCTATGTTACTATATGACAAATAATAATTTCTTTAAAGTATTCCCTCTCTAAAGTTTTGGCTGGGTCTTGTCCCTGTCTGGTCTTAAGGTTTTGTTCATTTTCGTTTCAGTCTGCGTGCCTGTTTTAGCTGTGTGTGACAATAATATAACTCTTTAATAGAACAGGGCCGTTAAACCACTTTAGATCTCACTCAGTGTCGAAGCAGACCTCCTATCTTTTCTTTAGAAATGATACATTTAATTAAGCAGTTGTAATTAACCAGCTTCACTTCTTTTCTGTCTCTTGCCGTTGGCACTTGTTTTCATTTGAACTTTGCCGCAGCGTTCTCTCTCTCCCTCTCTCCCTCTCTCCCTCTCTACAACATACGATCACCGAAGAAACTCTCGCGTTCCGAGAGGTCCGCAGTGTGAAGCAGCTTCATAATGAAAGTGTGTGAACCACTGGTCTGTGTGACGCTGCAGTAGAAACGCTGACTCGCCTTAAACTGCAGTCACTTTGTCATAACGAGAATTCAAAAAGACAAAAACATTGACTTTACTCAGGGCAGAACGACAGCAAACCTTCTGTCGACATTGTTGTAAGCGACAGCTGATCTGTGTGTGTGTTGTCAAAACCTCCAGCAGGTGCCACGTTAAACGTCATCAGCGTTAGAGCCCCGCGGCCAGAATCAACCATAAAAGCTCCGTCCACTCTCCCTCTCTCCCTGTTGTTCGCCCCTTCTAGCTGTTGTTCAGGTGGTTGTATCTCAACAAGACGTGTGTGATCAGATAAGTGTGAACTGCAGGGCGTGCTTTGTTCCTCTAAAGTGCACTATGTTGCTGAGGTAAACACGAGCTGTTCCTGCGAACCTTAATTTGATTTTCCTTGCTCCGTGAAAAAAAAACAACAACTGTGCACTGGGCTCATTCAGGGGCTCCAGGCTGGGCCGCTGCCGTGCTCCTGGAGTCTCTGGCCTTAACCTGTGTCCAACTGCCTTTCTGCCTTTCATTCCTTAATAATGTGGCTAATCAGTATTGTAGCTCTGTAGTACTACTACTCTACACATTACCCCTGTCCTCAAAACACAGCACACACTTTTCACATTAACAACACGACACTTTTGATTTTTCAACCAACAACAATAGTCATGTCATGGATCTTTGAAATGTCTTATTCCTGTGTACTTAGCTATTTTTTTTAAGTAAAGCAGGGATCTCAAAATATATTTACCATAACAATGATTAGCATTAGCATTTTAATTTATACACAGACATCTTCAACCTCAGTCATATAATACTGATAAAGGTCTAACTCATGGACAGAGAGTGTGTGTGTGTCTTTACATGGAAGATAACAGGAGTTCAGCGTAGTACTTTGTCAGGAATTTGAAGCACGGTGACTCACACTTGCTGTCTCCAAACCAAAATCCTCTCATTCTGAATTATACGTCTGCATCTCTTTTTTCCAGTGTGTTTTTGGCTGAACAGTTTGAGTCGCTTCAGTCCCATCTGGACACAATGATGCCTGCAGCCAAGAAGCCTTTCCTTCAGCAGTTTTATTCCCAGGTATAATCAGTCTAGTGCACTTTCATTTAATCTCTAAAAGTCACTCACACAACAACAACAATTCTAAATCCCCATGAAATGAATGGCTGCATTTGAAGGACGAAAAGCACTCATTTTGTTGTTTTTTTGTTTTTCAGAAATTAAAAAAAAAAAACAACAATATTTCACTTTTCCTTCTCCCCACAGTTTGATTGTCAGGCTTATAAAAAAGCATTTACCTCCAGTGTAGCATTTACTCATCATCATGCATGACAAACGAGGCCACTCGACATCTGAGATGAGTTGTACAAATCTCATCTGTTTCCCAAAGACCAAACACTAATGTCATGTGATTTGACTCTTGACTGTACAACTGCAGCCACACACCACATAATCAGTGACGGCGTGTTACCAGGACTACTTGTCCTTTTCCTGAAGAGATCTGAACTGCTGTGCTGCTTCTGTAACATCTGGAGGTCTCTACTGTACATAACTGTCTTTTTGTGATCTCGCAGACGGTTTCTACTGCCAGTGAACTGCGGAAGCCCATATACTGGATCGTGGCAGCCAAGGCCATCGACTACGAACAAATGTTGCTCATGATGGCCGGGGTTAAATGGGACATTCGAGAGATAATGTCGCAGCACAACGTTTACGTGGACGTTCTTTTAAAGGTAACGTTTCATTTGGAATTCAATTCAGATCCAGATCGAGAAACAACAATCATAAATGTAAATCAAACAAAACAGAACAGGCTGACAAAGTTTCATAAAGAAGCATTGAACAATTGACACAAAGGCTCTGACGCTGGCAGGAGCGCCATGTTCCCCACAGCGAGGCAGCCTGCCGGTCTGTTTTTGTTAGTCCTCCTGTACACGGTTGTGTGTTTTTTTTCGTTTTTTTTCTATTCAATTGTGCTCCAGCTGTATGTGTAGGACCTCGCTCTGACCTGGAATTAACATCCATCCTGAGTGAATTGGTAAGTGCAGGTCCTCCAGGTCAGAACATTTCAAATCCAGGCTGAATTTGTTCTCAGGTCCAATCACAAAAACTTTCAGAGGTGATTTGAGGACGCCGTGTTTTTGTTTTGTTTTTTCAGCAGAATTTAAAGACCACCTCCTGGCTGACCTGCTGTAGTTTCAAAGTAGTGTTAAAAAGATCCATAAATCCACTTCCATGTTAACACTGTGTAAGTGTGGCCTTGTTTGCTTAGATTTTCTCACTCAGACTGAGGAATACAAACTCACTCTTCCAAACAGTGTGATTTAAAGCAGGTTGTGTAATTAGTGTAAGGCCACAGCCAGGATGCACTGTTTACTGATTATAGCTTTTTCAAAATGTGTTTTTGTTGTATTCCATGGTGCATATATTTGCAGTACTCTCTCAATGTCAAGCCGTCTCGAGCCAATTATACAAAATATTTATTGTATATTCCAGAAGTATTCTGATCAAAGTAGAAAGTTAAAAGTGGAGTTTGAGGATCCTCGGGGCCTGGCAGTCACCTCAGGGTATTTAGTTGATGAGCTGAATTACCTGAGGTGAAATGTTTGTGTGTGTGACCTGGTTCAGATGCCGCTCCGTGTCACAGTGTTCCAGCTCTTGAGCTGATACGCTGCACATTAGAATAAGTGTGTACTTTCTCCCGTTGGGCGCCGACAGCCTCCTCTGCTAACTTGTCAGACAACCGTTGTACACACGGAATACGTTATGTGCACTGATTGAGGAGCGTGTGTAACTTTTTTTTTTTTTTTTGCTGTTCGGTACACAGGGGAATATTTTATTCATGAATTCGGGTTGATCACTGGTATCCAACAATGGCAATAATTTGCATATAAAGTGGGAGCAAATGCAGCAGCAACGAAATGACTTCATTGACAAAAAGCTCGAGCAAGAAAAACTGTGGCTGGGCTTTTGTTTTTGAATGAATTAACAATTCATTTCTGGATGCAAATTTAATGGGCTGCATGCAGTAGGCCTCAAAATCCAGGTTCACTTCCATGTACTGTGACACCAGTCATGGCAGACTTCATTTGGGCTACATCCATCACAGTAATGAGTTCAGGCCTCCGGTTCTATCATTTATAATATCACATATAAATGTATACAGTTTATATGTGACATCACATAAGAGTTGATCCATTATTAATCTTTAAGGGTAAACAGTCATATTTAGTAATATCAGCATAATAGCTTTTCCTTCAACCCATATTAATGCCATTGTCCATTAAATATGCTTATTATCAGTACTAATCCTCCTTTGAGTTGTATCGCTGCCTCCTACTGGTTCATTATTCTTGTGGTTAACATTTCTACATAGAATGTTAAATTTGTCAAAGAACAAGAGAAAACACAAGCAGGGGGCAGCAAAGCTACAGATATACACAGGCCACAGCAGTGGCCATTAAAGCTACTTTTTATAAAGGAAATACTTTAATATGAACTAGCATGTTATATAATGTAGCAGGTGGCATGCAGTCCAAAAATGTAAAGTCTAAGTCCAGTTGAAACCGCTCCAAACCACGGAGAAGCATTTAGCAGCACATGAATGATTAGTTCTAACGTCGGTTTCAGGTCTCGGCACATTCCTTCTTCCCACCTCGGTCTTTTCAGCACTCTGGGATGTTTTGTTTTCCATTTGTCCAGACCACAACTCCCCCCCCCCCAAAAAAAAAAAAATCTCGGTCCAATCCGACCCAGACTTGGTGTAGGCTGCCGCCCTGGAGGGAAAATATACCTTTCAGTGATATGATTCCCTTTGCCACCATTTAGTATTTATGAAAAGAGATTAACACAAACCAGATTGTCGTCATTTTGTACCAGACTGTAAATAACTGCGTAGTGCTTTTCACAGTGTGGGGTTATTTTATTAGCCCATGAGTTTGTGGTGTGTCTTATCCAAGAACAACACAGAGTCGCTCAGAACAAATCGGAGGAAACACACTGGTGCACAAACGTTTGTTTTACTCATGTATTCCACTTGGAAACCCGAGGGACTGATGTGTTTCCTGTTTAGACATTCAGTCGGGTAGGACTGTAGGACTCGGTGAGCCTGACCGATCTTTGTGGAGGACTCCCGTTGTGATGTGTGTGTTCTGACCCAGGTCTTTCTCCTTCGTCTTTCTCCTCAGGAGTTTGAGCAGTTTAACGAGCGGCTGAGTGATGTTTCTAGGTATGTGCGCATCCCGCTGCCCGTGTCCAACGTCCTGTGGGAGCACTGCATCCGTCTGGCCAACAGGACTCTGGTCGAGGGGTAAGGAAGTCATAAAACACCGCTCTACTTTGATGCAGAGTAATGACTAAAATCTGTTATCACTATGAAATCATGAAGTAAAATTATGATTAATTCCATCATTTGTAAAACACACACATCTGTCTGTCTTTATGTTCCAGCAATATACAGAAAACATGTTACTCATGATTATGGACTCGTGAACTGTCCAATACACTGTTGGGATTAATCACGAGTGTTGGTTTGGTTCTGACAGTACAGTCGCTGCAGTCCGTAAACTGACAGAGAGTCTGTAGTTGACTGTCACTTTCCGTTCTCTTTTTTCAAGGGCAGCACGTATGGTATAGAGCCCGTGCTGCAGTATTCTAATGCAAGGCCTTCACAGAGACAAGTAACACTGAACACTCTCTTGTTATATCTAAAAGCATGTGGCAATAATGTAGCTTGATTTTTGCGGTTGGTTAATAAAAGTTCAGAAGGTCAAAGTACTCAAAACATTCTTTTGTTTTTTGCTTTTTTTTTCTATAACCTTTGCCCACACTTCCTTTTTATTCGAGGTTTGTACCTGTTGTTGTAGCAGGTGCTACCTGTTTAGATTCATTTATTCATGGCTATATTGGCTATATATAGATTTGTTTTTAAGTCAGCACCTTACAGGAATGAACGCAATGAAACTGCATTCAAAAGTTGGCTTTTTTGTATGTGAAATATTAATGTAAAAAAGCAAAAACACAGCAGCCACTGAAAGTTGATAATGAATTAAATAACATTAAAGGAGCGTAGGAAGGGCAGTGGAATGATGTGTTTGGTACTTTTATCTGAAGCTGGGGCGGTGTCGCTTTTCATGTGTGTCAAATGGAAATAGACAAAAATAAATTTTGGAACTCCAACATAAGTGACATGTTGTCAAAACAGAAGAAGTCTAGATTACAAATGGTACATTACAGAAAACGTGAAGACTGAGTTTCCAGGTTCAGTGGGTGTCGGCCTCACACCAACACACACTTCACCACTTTCTGCCTCATAAGCAGCAAAGACTGGTGAGAAAAGACAGAACATCACAGCTCCTTTTAACCCACAGTATCTACACTACACCCCCACTGTTTACTCACTCACAATCTGTGCATGGAGGCTGTGTGAAGTATGTTGTCAGACCAGCGCCTCCGTAGTCTGACAGTCTAACAGTCAGAGTCTGGATGGATGGATGGATGGATGGATGGATGGATGGATGGATGGATGGATGGATGGATGGTGATGAGGCGAGAAACTCACACAATGAGATTTCACACATTGTGGAGTGAATAAAGAAAAAACAAACAAACTGACGTGATGCTGATGCCACAGTGATCCTGCTGCTAATTTGTAACGGTGTTAAAACATTTTTTTTTCTTTTTTTGTTCCTTTTTTAGTTACTTTCTTGAGTTTAGTGACTGCTGATTCTTTAACGTCCAGAAGTTTGAGAACATCACACTTTTGTAAGAGGAGGTGATGGAGGGAAACCATCCACTGGGGGGATATTTATTCCAGCTGGGGAACACGGGAACACCTCAAGCTCATTTTTATATTGTTAATGTTTGTCTGAAGGAAACTGTGAAGATTTTCTAAGACAGGGAATCTTGTACAGATCTGTCTCTGGTTTAAATTCTCAAAGACGACCATTACTAGTCGCTAGAAACAGTTGAACATCAGAACAATAACAATGAAAATGTGTTTCTGTTCAACAAATACAGTTAGTTTGCTTGAATTGTTCTAAAACCAACCTCTATAGAAACAGCTGCAGATTTACTTTTCAAAGATGGAAGAAAAGACCGAAATGACATCTTTTGTGCCTCGGTCTTCACACAAACCTCACTCGGTGTGATATACAATTTGTCTGTCTGTTGCTCGTCTCACCTTAAGGCACGCGAAAATGGCTCTGTGCTCGTTTTGAGGCAGAGCTCAAACACTCAGCATCAAACTGTGGCAGGTCTGCCAGACGGCAGAGAAAAAGTTGACAGAGAGAGTTGATGGGACCGTGGTCAGACCGTTGTGTTTGGCCAGTCACACACTGACCTGACATTAGTCAACAAACACACAATTTTACAGAAGAAAATAATGCAGCATGCATGAATAATGCATTCCACTCTGACGGGGAGGATCTACAGTCATCCCCTGTTCCTTCTCTGCTCCTCTCTCCTCCTCTCTCCTCTGCAGTTACGCCAACGTGAAGAAATGCAGCAACGAGGGCCGAGCACTGATGCAGCTGGATTTCCAGCAGTTCCTCATGAAGCTGGAAAAGCTGACCGACCTGCGACCCATCCCCGACAAGGAGTTTGTGGAGACTTACATCAAAGCCTACTACCTGACGGAGAATGACATGGAGCAGTTTATCAAGAACCACAGGGTGAGGAGCCGGGGTGGTCTCTGACCACTGGGAGAAAACTGTTCACTACATTCACACTGTCCCGGAGTATTTTCACCGTCCTTATGACAGCAAAGTTCTGCACAGTACTCTACTGTATATTTGATAGAGAAAATGAGGTTGATGAAATTAACCGTCACTTCACACTTTTCTTGTAGGAGTACTCCATGAAGCAGCTAGCCAACCTGGTCAACGTTTGCCTGGGATCGCATATAAACAAAAGGGCTCGGCAGAAGCTCCTTGCTGCCATCGACGACATCGACCGACCCAAGAGATAGACTGAAGCCCACAGGAGGTCCTACATGTTTCCATGGACGTGGCTCATGAGTAAAAAGTGTTTTTTTTTTTTTAAATTAAAGTGTTGAACAAGCTCTTCCCAACAGTTCACTGTTTAAATGTATGGTAGAAGCTAATTGTCCGTTCAAATAACAGTTGGTTATATCATCGTAAACGCTCGTCGGACGCACCTCAGTGGTGATGTCACCGACTTAACAAAAACCTCTGCTAACATTAACATCATTTTATTGGCCACATTAAACAGATCATTAGCTCTAATTATAACTTTGAAGCGAGGCTTTAGCCTGTTAGCATTCCAGGTTATTTTTCTTCCCACCGTGTGTTGCCACTGAGACTGAAGGAAACAACAACAGGTGAAAGTGGACACGTCTCAGTGTGTGGTGGTCAGTGTGTGTCAGTGTGAAGAGTCTGATCATTACAGCCTGCCGCTGCTGTCGACTGGAGCTGTCGTTTATTTTAAATGGATCCAGTCTGTGTGTGTGTGTGTATGTGTGTGTGTGTCGAGTATAATTCGGGGGGATTTACTGGATAATCTGAATATTTGTCTTAATTTAATCTTTGAACGGCGTTAATTCCAATCTCGTAAATTCTACACAACGCTGACATTATCCAGTTAATGTGCACGGTTGTTTATTTTGACCAAGCTGTGTGTGTGTGTGTGTGTGTGTGTGTGTGTGTGTATGTGTATATGTGTTTGTTGTTTGATTTTGACTCAAACCAAGGTCTAACGTCTTCGTCTCTTCTCACTCTCATTTCCCAAGCCTACATTTTGAAGATTAGAAAGCTGCTTTGTAGGTTTTGGAGCCAGCAGGGGGCTCCACTCTCTATTTTTAAAGAATTGCATGTTCTCTACAGAATGGGTGACAGATGTTCAGGTGTGACATCCAGATTTATACTCAGTCTGTGTGTACAGTACTGTTAGGAACAAGTGCATTTCATACTTACTTAACCCTTCAACTCCCGAGGCACTGATAATGAGTTAATGGATGAACTTTGTTGCCGGGCAGATCTTCCACTCCTGTCGTCTCCATCACTCTGTCCAAAAGAAAAGAAATATAGAAATACTGCTTCACTGACTGTATATTACGTGTGCAACTATTCCATGACAAATACTGTAAATGTGAATGTATTTGAATGACGTCTGTATTTATTTCTTCTTTTTGATTTTCTGTTAATTATGATCATTTGTCACTTTCTATCGTATCTGTAAATTATCATTTAAAAAAAATTACACAAATATTTAAAGGCTGTCGAAATCAAATGCACTATAGTGGAAGTCGGTTTAGAGAATTAAAGTAGGATGATTGGAAGAATAAACCTGTGGTCTGTGAACACTGACACTGGGAGAGAGAGAGTGTGTGTGTGTGTGTGTGTGTGTGTGTGTGTAGTGGGCTGTGTGTCAACACTGGCATTATGCTTCTAGAACACATGGAATATTTGCTGAGCAATTTTACTGATTGTTGTTGACATGTTTTTGGTAACATTTGGCATTTTCCAGGCTAACTTATAGCAAAAAAGAATTAAGTCATTCTTTTATGCAAATTTTTCCTATTGATGATATTCTAATATTTCCAGTGATCTTATTGGCTGATTCATTTGTGTAAGAGCACATTCAGGCTGGATGGTACTTCCTGGTGTCATGTGATGTCACATCTTCTTCCTGGAGACTGGAGCTGAGTGTGTGTGGATGATGTTGGAGAACCAGAGTATTGACTACACAGCAGAGTACATGTGCTGTATGCTTTATGTAGGTGAGTGACACAAGGGTGAAGTACTCACAAGTTTTATAAGAAGTCTGGAGCTTTTATTACTACATCGAAGTAGAACCCTTACTACAGTTATTTTCAATACTGATGAGATTTTTTTTTGTATTATAATTTGCAGGAATTGAATCATTTTCTCTGGATCTGATGAAGGCATTTAATCAGATCAAAAAAAGGAGGTAAGATGAACATTTTCAACCCTTACTACAGTTATTTTCAATACTGATGAGATTTTTTTTTGTATTATAATTTGCAGGAATTGAATCATTTTCTCTGGATCTGATGAAGGCATTTAATCAGATCAAAAAAAGGAGGTAAGATGAACATTTTCAGGATATATTTAAGTGACTAAATCATCTGAATCTTGATGTTGATCTAAATCATCAACTGTCTTCATAAATATACATATGTATTCAGACATCTTTATTATCATTATTTTTCTCATGCACATGATGATGATGATCATGATGATGGTGGTTGTCCTCAAAGACACTGTCTTTCAACATGGCATCGTCTTTCACAGTGTGTCCACAGAGTGTGTCCACAGTGTGTCCACGGAGCTTTGAACAAAGATGTCCATCGATTCAGAACAGGAAACAAACCTATAAATTGGAACTAGTGTTTCCTTAATGAGGCTCGGACTCTGTTTCTGGTGTTGACCGGTGTTGACCAGTGGTGGTCAGTAACACAAAGTCAATTAAAACCACAGTCAGAGAAATCATCAGATGATTAATGACTTATCCAATCATATATAGAGCAGCGTTTAAAGAACATAATCACCGCAGTCTTATCGTTGACTGACTGACATCACACACTGCAGCTGCTAATTGGATGTCAGCCTCCGTCGGGTGAACTCCCACCGCCGTTCGCTGAGATTGTGGTTGCGGCAGCCGCTGCTAATTTCTTGCCTGAGTAGCTCTGTGTGTGTGTGTGTGTGTGTGTGGCTGTAATCACCAGCAGAGAGACAGAGGAAAAACCTCAACAAACACTGGGTCTCCATCAATGTTGAAATGGAAGTGAAATTGGTTTCAATTAAAGCCTTGGTTCATGGAGGAGTTTAATATAACGGCCTGTTATTAATAGAGCTGTGGTTTGATGGGAAAAGGAGGAAAACTCCTTCCAATGAAAGCCCGGGAATTATTGTTATTTAGAGAATATGAATTGTTCGTCTGCCACACAGGAAATGAACGTTCCTGCAGCAGAGACTGGGACTGAGAAGTGAGAAGTGCAGTGAGATTATCAGAGGGTGCACAGGCGTTGGATCAGGAACTGAGTTTGATGTGTACATGCAAATAAGGAGCTGTTGCCTGCTCCTCATTCATGTACTTTTGTGTATTTATATACATAGAAATATTCATCAAAATACAACTTTTTTTCATGGAGGCAAACTTACTGTAGGGGGAGCTCATTTCTCTGTCATTTGACTGGCCTCATGAAGATTTTCAGCATTATTTTTTATTCTAATTAAACTTTTACCTACCATCAGCTCTTCGACCTCGGTTCAACCCCATATTTTGAAATCTTTTATTTTATTATTATTTTTAAAGGAATTGTTTTCCTGAATTTGCAAGTCATGCATTTAGGGATCTTGTCACTGCGCTATGGCTGAGATACCATTTGACAAATGTGTTCCAGATAACCCTCCACCCTGAATTGCCAACAGCTTATAAATAAACCAGTTCTTTCCAGTACCCATCTAAAAATAATAACCATATGCTTTATGCTCCTGAGCCGAGGGGAAGCTGGAGCCGGTCCCATCCGACACTGGCTGAGTCAGGGTGGAACTATGGCAGGTCATCGCAGGGCCAGCGTCAGCAGGGTCACGTCAATGTCACAGCGGGGCAAGAGGAAAAAAAATCACCAAATTCCTTCGACCTATAAAAGTCACCAGGGAAAGTGAATATAAAAAAAAAACAGACGGACAGATGAGTGGGGGTCAGTTAAGGTCATTCGTTCACAGCTGTAATTCTGACTGTAGACTGTAGGTGTTGTAACGCACCTGCAGCACCAACTGTACGAGGGGACGTCTTAAGAAGAAATCGTAAAATATTAGTGAAAAAAACAGAGAGGCAGAACATATCTCGACTTAAACTTTTTGTATTTGCAAACGATACCACATAAAATAAAGGTTAAGTAAAAAATAAAACTAAAACCTGCAGCACTCAGTGTATGAGTAACAGCTGCTCTTCATCAGTCAGTTCTGCTTTTTCTTCTTTTTCTTCTATTGATTTGTTCAAGTGTCTTCAGCCGCCTGGGGCCACGAGACCAAGTGAGGAATATTCACTGGTGGTCTTCTAATGGTTTTGTACATTAGGCATCATTTCACATCAGCGATAACGAACGACAGCCACTAGGCCTAATAACTGAGGCATGAATCAGGAGCGCAGACGTACAGATAGCGGAGTATGAAATGAACTTGATGATATATTTATTTCCCTAAACAAACAACATGATCGCTGACGATTATTCCATGTAATTTCACGGCTCTCCACCTCGCCGGTGTCCCGGCGACGAGGCAGAGAAGAACGGAGGGTCTGAGAGCGTCATCATCCACAGTATCTCTATACGTACAGTTGTCTTTACAGCATATTCATGGCTTCATTACAGGCAGACGCTGTGTGTTTGTTTATATTAACTCTGAACTGTTCTGTATTATTTATCCACTTCCTCTTTAATGAACTATTAACCAGGTTCCTCACATTTCTCCACTTGGTCACATTGTCAATATTTACAGTATTATCATCCTGCCGGCCGGACACTCGTTCATCACGGTGGAGACACTGTGCTGTGTGTGATTTAATACGTCTGACCCTGAAGCTCTAGTATGTATGACAGCCTTTGTTAAAAAAAAACATATAGGTGTTAGCTAGTTAAGGTGTAGTTCACTGCCATGAATACGATTTACATGCTACTAACATTGCTAGCATTAACTAAAGACCAATTAAGTGAAATTTGCTTATTCTTACCACCACCCAATGACCTCTCACGGCTCAGCTCAACCACCTTTATTACTTTTTATAAATAGTTCTCTCTTTTTTTTCCTTTTTTTTTGCAGAAATTAAACACATTTTTTACAGAGTGCTAAGAGAAAGTAGCTCTGACTTAAGAAGGCGATGTCTTCTGACCACCGCTGCCGTACACCTGTCACGGTCTCCTTCACTTTCCTTCAGTGACATAATGTGTACTCCATAATGTACCTTTTCATTTCAGTCCAACAGAGCTCAGCGTGTTCCTTCTGGTTTCCCCGTTCCTGGTCTGCATACTTGATGAGGGAGACTGAAGTCTGAGGCAGTCAGCGCTAGGCCGAGGCAACTTTCAACTTTCAGCCATGACAGCGCGTTTTCATTGGCAATTACAGCTCACCTCTGCCTGACTCGCACTCGGGCTGCGTGTAAACGTGTGCGTTAAATAGATTTAGAAAAGGCTGCAGTGTGTTATTTTACAGGCCGCGAGTTCTATAGTGTGGTATATAAACCATCAAATATGCTGTGTGGTCCACACGCCGCAGGAATACTGATGTATCGTACAGTACCTTTCCGACTCTTCCCTGCAGATCTGTGAAGGATTTCAAGCTGGTTCTCATTTCAGACTTTGAACCTGATGTTGTTATGTTTGAACATATGGACAATAGTATTCATTCTTTTTTGAATGTATTATAAACATGCCCTATTTTTTAAATGTATTTTTTAGATTTTTTCTAATATTTTTTCCTATCATCTCTACCCGTGCTTTTCATCACCTTTTAGAAACAATAGCCAGGGAGAAGCAATCATTTACTTTCAGCTGGGAAAAAAAAGAAGAAAACTCATTTGGTCTTGCTCCTAGCATCTCTCCCCTATATCTCCCTGGTTCTCCCCCCTCTGCCTCCTCCCATCATCCATCATCTGGCTCTCTGTGAGCAAGTTCCTTGCGCGCACATGACTAACGACGCTATTTAGGCAAAACATGAGAGAGAGACTTTCTAATCTGATCCTGTTTCACTCCGTCTCTGCCACTGTTAGCTTCAGCTCTGCAGACTCCTGTCTCCAGTGTCCAGACGTGTCCTCCAGGACACATGTCATGTCTCCCTCTGGTTTCTCAGGCTCACGTTCACGCAGCACTCACTGATAATCTTCCATTTCACTGCACACTTCCACACTTAGCCAACGCCGCAGATTGAAATGAACTGCGGTGAGATGTAGGCAGGCTAGGTGGTGTGAGGAGTGAAAACACACAGGCTATAGGAGTACTACCCACAGAGGCAAATACACTTCTATAAGTACTACATGAGGCACAGGCAGGGGACGTGGAGTGTCTTCAAGTGTGTGGGCCGCTGACGTAAAGCAATTAGTTTTTCTTTGTACGCCCAGTGTGTAATGGTTTTGAAGATTTAATGACACATAGTACTCTGACGTTGGTATATAGAGTATCTTGTATTGCATATTTAATACTTTCTTATAGATTTAACATAAAACAAAAATCGAACTGAACTGCCCGCCTTTTGTAGATATTTTTAACACTCTAATCCTTCTTCCTGTTGCATTATTGAAATACAGTAACAAATTGTAAAAAATTGTAACAAATTGTAACAGTGCAATTTCTCTGCTGTGGTACAATTAACGCTCTACCAGAGTTTGCGAACCACAGAGATAAAACATATTACGTATTTCAAAGCACAACCTTAGAAACCAGAATTAGAACTAATGAAATGTTTTTATTAGTAATATATATATATATATTATCATTATTTATTTTAACACCAAGATGGAACATACTCCTGGTTTATTTGTGGGACCAAAATAATAATATTTAAATACTAAAATAGCACATTACTGTAACCTACAGAGTACTGGGGGTGGGGGGGGGGCTGTGATGGACGAACAAATACAGGTTCTTGTCCTGATAGAACTGACCATTAAACCCTATTGTTTGAATGAGTGACAAATATACAGATGCTGTTGTTCAGATCCAAATTTCTCACCCAGTTGGACGTTACGGTGAAAATGTACTTACAAGAAAATTCTAATCTGTTTAAACTAACCAACCATTTGCACAGATCATAAAACCAGTTCGATGTTCAATTTTATTTACGATCAGATTCTCAACAAAGATTTATATGTGTGCTGACAGAAAAGTGTTGAACTAAAAATTGTGGTTGCTGAGCCTTTAACTGTTGGCCCCGGTACAGTATTTGCTTTCAAGGCAACTTCTGCTTCCCCGTGTTTTCATACTGCCCTGCCAGAGATGATCAGATTCATCCATTTTACCCGGACGCCTCTAAAAGCTGTATTTCTTCTAACCCTGAACCTGAAATTTACACTGCAGGGATAGTAAAACAGAAATAAATTAGTGCCTTGCCTGCTGTGCCGGGACCGCACATTAAATGTCTCGAACAGTGTGGAAAATGTGAGTCTACAGTCATTGGATAAAAGGGAAACATTGGCTGTTAACCTGGTGTTTAACAAGGCTCTGAGGGCCCTTAGCTTTAAGCACTGTGGGTTTTCTTTGGCCCTCTGACTGTCGGCTCCGTACGACAACACTCCAGTCCGTGCATGAATTTAACGAGGGCATGTTGAAGTTTGTGGCTCGGAGGGTTTCAGATGCTGGTTTTCAGCTGAGTAGTATCTACAGTTACAGTCCAGCTCCTCGCTGCACATAATCAAACGTCGGCCGTTTAAAAGTCTCGTAATGTTCACCGAGGATCATGGATCCCTGATCACAGAGATCTGGTCATCGTGAAATGCATCGTTGTAGTTTATGGTTCGCATGTTAGTTAGCTGTCTCTCTCTGTGTCCTCTCCTCTCCTGTCTGTTTGTCTCAGCCAATCAGTGTCATCACAGTGACCTGTGTCTCAGTCATCAGTCTTACTTCTGCTAACCAAAAATGATTTGGTGGGCAGCCTTTGGCCCACGGGCCTTGGGTTCGACACATGCGATAAGGAGGAACTATAGCTTCGAAGAGTTGGTCCCCGTGTGGTCCCTTTTCTCATTACGGTTTAGTTTTGCATCACAGTCCATGCACCATGAAACCTTCTTGTCATGCACGCCTGTTTTGTTTTTTTTTAACATCATTAAAAGCAGTGAACCAGGTTTGTTTTCCAAACACCGTTTCCTTTCCGCCGACTTTCTTTTTTCTCCAGCTTTTTAAAACAGTTTGAAGACGGGCAACATACTAAGTCATTTGTTCAACACTGCCAAGGTGCAATCACGGAGGAGAGCTGAAATGTTCAGCCTCCGTGGGCTCCAGTGTTGTTTGTATCTGTGTAATTGTGACTGATTGCTTCTTTTCCTGTTGTCACAAGTGCTAAAATATTTGGCAGAAATAAACTCAGATGCAAACAAGGAACAAAGCCAGGCGTTGACTCAGGCTCAGAGTCCAAACTCCACGTGGAAGAAGGGAGGACGTATATTTATTTCTTCCCACTGCAGCAGCCTGTCTATCAAGTTCCCTGGTAATTAATTTTTGTCTCACAAATCTCATTAGTGAATAATGAGGGAACAAGACCTATTAAGAAGACAAGACGGGGACACTTATCTTCTAAGACATGTCATAGCAGCTTTAAACAGACTGACAGGTTCACCCTGATGTGAAGGAGTCTTCCTGCTGCGTACCTCGGTCTTCAACGTTCTCAGATTCCTAAGATTCTCCGAGACATTTCTGATCATTTACCATCTGTGATTTTGTCACAGTTCATCAGTTCCTACTTCTTTCTTTCCTTCCTTCTTTTCCTTTGTTCTTTCTTTTCATTCCTTCTATGCCTCCGACCCCCACAGGACCCCCACTCTCTCCCCACAACCCCTCGATATACGATACTACATACGATGAATGTGGCAAATAAATATTGTCGCGGGCGTGGCTCAGCGCTGGGCCCCGGGGCATAGTTTCATCACTGATAATCTCAACATCAAAGCGTTTAAAACAGGGAGATAATGAATAATTAGCATGTAGCGGGCAGCGTTTTCTAATAATACTTCAAAGGCTCTGGAAAGCTAAGGTTCCACGGAGATCGTACTGTAGCAGTTGAGCAGCACATTAGTTAAGGAGGAGGTGATTCATTGGATCATTCTCAGTCTCTGTTCAGATTTCTCTGGAGGGCGCTGATGTTCCTGTGGAGTCAGACGCAGCATCAACAACAATTCAGGAATTCCACAAAAATGTTTTTTTTTTCATCGGCATAAATTGACTAGAGGCGAAACGTGATGTTGGCCGAAAAAAAAAAAACTACGTCTAAGTCTTCAAACAAAACTGGAAGTTTTTATTGTTGATTAATGAGGCCTTTTGTCTCATTCAGTACAGAATCCAGAGTAGTGTGTGAAGTTAAAGTGGGAATCTCAGTGGATGTTGGTCCAATCAGCAGTCAATGAGCCCAGAACTGTTTGTCTTTTCACTAACGGAATTATCATAATTTCTCCTTTTGTCCATTGTTCTGGCTTTTAATTCGACTCCCTGCTCTGCAGCAACGGTTTAACGCCTGCTTCTGAATCCCACGGTGACTCCGAGTCCTATCTCTCCTGAGCAGAGAGAAGCGATGGATTTTAGTCCCGCAGTGAGAGAAGATTTCCACGGTTTGATTTATTGTCTTTGTGGCCGTGGCGCTGAGCGCAGCAGGGGTTCCCTGTTCTCCCATGATGCTCCTAATACTGCGACTGGCTCGGAGAGAACAGACATGTGCATCAGTGGTTTTACACACACAGTCTCTTTATGAACCTTACTACTGACTTATTAAGCTGTGACAGTATGACTGCTGGTTCTCTGTATGGGTTCTCATACAGCAGGGCTATCAAACTCCAAGTGACCAGTACATATAACATAATGACCTGCGGGCCTTAGGTTTGACATCCATGTCATAGAGTTACTAATAAAGCCTTTTAGTCTAATATTTACTTGTCTAAAATATGAATGTATTCATCCTCCTGTCTGTCTGTCTGTCTGTCTGTCTGTCTGTCTATATATAGATATAGATATGGTATATTTTCCTGCATGTATTCATTTGTTGATAATTGAGTTGTGGCACAGAGTGACGTGGAGCTTCAAACTTTGACTTTGTCATATTATTAACATTAAACAGACTTTGAATGACTGCGAAAACTCCATCAGATTTTCTGCTCAGCTTTACCATTAGGAGGCAGCAGAGCCTGAAATTACATTCTATACAGTATCTGACTATAAGAAGGCTGAATATATATATATATATGTCTACGTACAAAATTCATTTTTAAATGAGAACCACTCGGCCTCGTTAGTGTGATAACAACATTATAGAGTCGAGGGACGCAGACCGGCGTCCATCCTTAAAGCTACAGCGTCACTTAGTTCCTGTCAAGTTGCCCAGATGACAGGCTGCTAATGTGAGTCAAGCTAAACCTCACGGCGATGCCCAACTGGAGGCACGTGTTTGTTTGCCTGCTCACTCATTATATAAAACCTCTCAACCCTGAAATATGGACGAGGGCTGAGTAGCCAAGAGAAATACTGCTGAGTCAGCACAGAATTCAGGAAATCCACCGAATGAAAATCAATGTTTAGTTTTTTCTTACAGAAATATTACTTTATGAGGTAAATAAAATAGAATCAAACACAAACACAGTAGTTTGGTTTTTACAAAATACATTTTGTTTTTAATAATAGCCTTTAAAATGAGACTGGTCTGAGATGAGACGGAGCGAAGAAGAAAAGACCAACACAAGCCCAGAATAATGACAGAAAAGTAAAAAATATATATATAATAGCGGTCAGCTGTAGTTCACAGTGCAAAAGAAATGATTTACTGTATTTATACACACATACGGAATTCTCCTGTCTTATATTTACACAGACATACAAAATATACAGGCTCTGTCCGACTGAATGCCAAAGAAAGGTCGTGTGTCTCACACTGTGCATAACAAAGAAGGCAGCGTCCACTGACCACTGGGCTGAGGATGAGTTCCATAGTAAAAAATAAATAATACACTTTAATATTTCACTTCAAGGATTGGTGTAAAGCACTAAAACCCACTTTGCCCTGCTGCGACAAAGTCGTTCGCTCCATTTGATTGTCACTCTTCAACTGTCACTGAAAGTCACCGAAACGTAACGTTGTAATAGGTTCAGGTGTTGATCATCAGGAGTCCAAACAACAGAAAAACTTCCGAGCCCTGTCATAAAAACTACAAACCACCGTAGGTTCACAGTAGTTCTTATACGTAGAAGTATTTCATTCGTTTTTTATCATTTCTCACATTTCCTCCTGATTCATGTCAGTCATTAGGAGACAGTTAGCTGTCTCCTAATGACTGACTGTGGTTGCTAAGGGAAACCTGGGGATATGGCGGTAGAGTACTGTATGTGTTTTGCTGGTTTTGAAAAGGTCGATTGAAGCCCAAAGAAACAGAAGGCTGCTTTTCACCTTATTTAAAATGTCAGTAAACACACGCGAGCACGTGTTCTCAGTCCTTAGTTCTAGGGTCTTGGGTTTTCTCCCGACGGAATCTGACGTCGGGTTTCTCAACAAGCAGATAAACCAAAGCTAATACTATATGGTACACAATGTTCTCTGCTATATCTCCAGTAATACTACAAACCCATGAAGTCCTTCGTTACATTTAATTGCCGCAAACCTCACCAGATTAGCTTGCGTCGCTGTTGTTTAAAAAGCTTAAAACCTTAAAAAAGAAAGTCTTAAAAAATGATACTTTTATGGTTAGAAACTTAGACCTTGACTGTATGCCAAAATAGAATATAATATTTCAACTTTATTTCCATTGCACGTCATACTAAATGCAGATCACATCTAACCAAAAGCAGCGCAAAAGCAGCAAAATACATTTGAGTTAAGACGAAACCGTTATCAAAATGTTATATACTGCTTAATAATCCTGTGAATACTGCAGTATTAATAAGTAGTTAATACCGCTGGTTAACATCTACTGTATGGAGTAAAACATATGTAGGAAAGTTTAGATTTCCTTGAGTTTTGGCCTACTTTAGAACACTACTGTGTCTCCCTTCACCTTCTCTCTTCGCCCTGACACTGAAACCACACAGACGACGACGTGAAAGAAAAAGGACATCAATCCTGCACACACTCTCCAGCCAAGTACACAGACAATGATATTTCTTTTCTCTGAGCCTTTTCCACATTCTGTGACTCTGGTTTGAGCTTCAAGTCAGAAAAAAAGGACTGATGTTTTCTCTGGAGACATTTTTTAAACCTATTTTATATCGCTCTACTTGTCTCTATTGAAGTGTTTTGTTTTAAAGATAGCATTCTATCTTTAGTTTTTTATATATATATAAATAGGCTACAAATCATTTAATTAATCTTCATGGAAATGACGTTCTAAACAACACAGAACAGTGAAGGCATCACCATCGTGAGAAAGCATGACTGGGAGGAAAATCAAAAGTGTTTCTTTGTAGTCTCACTGGCAACGAGTGATACTACTGCTGTACTCTGTGTGTGTGTGTGTGTGTGTATTTAACTGCCTTCTGATTGGCCGCTCCTTCTGAAGTCTGGCATTGGCACAAATACAGCAAACGGCAAAACAACAAAGTAGTCAGCGGTCACAGAACAAACACTTAGCAGGTAAGAACTGGAACTGGCAGGAATCAAATATTCAGCGTCAAACAAACACAAAAGATAAAGTTTTCTCTGAAGACATTTGAACACGTTTTCCAAATAAACATCATGAACAGACTTTATTTACACAACTCCATTGCACAGCAGCTTCTTCTGACCGCCGTCGTTAGCACACTACCATAAAGATGTGTCCCACGTACAGTAATCTTAATCAAAGGTGAAGTTTGTAAGGATTCCGCTTCACTCTCGTGACCATCAGTCAGTCAGCGTCACATTCAGGACCATCGCTCACTCTGAGCATGCTCACGCCTTTTAGCAGCTTTGTGAGGTGACGCTAATCAAAAGCAGCTTCTGTCTCAAAAAGTTCCCGACATCATAAGGTTTAAAAAGAAGCAGCCGCGGCGCCGATGTACAGTGATTCATCTCAGTTCCTCCTCGCTCCACCGCCTCCTCATTTCCACACCTGTGTGATCACGTATCGCTTCAACAGAGCAGCGTCGGCCTTGAGATGTGGCCCTAAAACTGGATTCATCTTCCATCTTTGTTGTACATCTCTGCCGCCCGCGCGTGGCTAATCTCCCTGCTACATTCTTTGGCCTCCGGACGGCGGCTCATGCGTACGTCTCTCCCGATTTCAGCGCCACCAGTTCAGAGTCCTCCGTGTGGCGCCCGTTCAACTGTTCGCTGGTGCAGTCGTGGTGGTACATGAAGGCCGGCACCTCGGTGATGGAGGTGGCCGTGTAGGACGTGGAGCGCATCGAACAGTGGTCCTTCCTTCTCTGACCCCACTGCATCTTATACTGCATCCACTGCCTCTTCAACGCTGCCTGCACCTGAAAGGGAGAAGATAGAAGTCAGAATCATGAAAAAGCCAAACAGAATAATGTGTGATTTCAAAAGTCATTTTATTGAGGCTGCCTGCAGGACGGGGCTTTGACAGTTTCACAGAACGCTGTGATTGTTTGCCTCTTTTCTTTGTACATAATACTCAATGCTAATGGAGGCACTTTGTGTGTGTAGCTGTCAGACCTGCACAAACAGTTTGTGTGAACTTTTCAGACCCACCGTTCAACACAAAAGTAACTTTTCCACATATATTCCATAGAATATAATATATATGTTGTTTTCCAGATACAGCTATTGGACGAAGGAAGAGAAAAATTACCACATGAGAAGAAAACCAATCACGCTTTAATGTCATGAACACCTACTGCATGGACCAATCATCATCTAACTCCCAGACGCAAAATCAATGCTAAATGCTAAATACCAAGGCTGTGGGTCATTTGACGTTCTTCTCCGGGTTCTTTGTGTAATTCTCACATTTCAAGACTGAGTTAATTGTTCACATTAATTCACGTTACAATATAGGTGTGAATGTGAGTGTGAGTGTGAATGTCCCCTCCGTGAGTGACAGCAGTGGTCCAGAATGTCAAAAATACCTCTTTCAAAGTATTTGTACTGCAGTGTAGTGTCTGTAGCGCGTGATGTTGCTGGTTTCTATCCTGCAGTTTGGCCTTTATAAAGGTCAACTCATGCGTGACATTAGAAAATGTTTAGTCACAGAGGGGATAAAGGTTCTTCTGAAAATAACTTGTGACAAAAGGCTGTAGCAGGAAAAAAAAACATTCTGATTTTCTCCACATAAACGTTGGTGTCTTGTCTATGAGCACAAATGAAAAAACCCAATGAGCACGTCGCTAAGTAGCCAAATGGCAAATAAACATTTTGTTTTGGAAGGGGGCGGGACAAGTGTCCATATTGATTGGATAGACATTAAAGCAGAATTTCTGAGCGACCAATGACGTTTATAAATGTTTGTTAGATTCATTAGCTTTTAGCGAGCTACTTGGAAAAGGGCATCAAGCTACTGGTAGCTGGTAAGTGATGCATTCGAGACCCCTGCTAGAGGGTGTGGGTCTCATTTGTCCAAGTCTGTAGCAGTAAAGGAGTGAGGGTCAGCTCAGGTAAAGGGTAAGACCGTTTATAAAAGATTGTTTCCTGAGAACAGATGGAAATCGACTTTCCTGTCGAGTGGTCCATCAGTCTTTGTTCAAAGATGTCTTCTAGTTTTTTCATTACCGTCCTTGTCTCGGGTTGATGCTGCTGTGAAGACCCATCCACTTTAATGGATTCAGTGGGTGACACATTTGTTTTCTCCACTAAGTATTTAATGTTATGAGGTTAGGACTCAGCATGTGGCCACCGCTCCACACTGTGTTTAGACTAATACGCTGCTATAAATTTACTCAAATAAAAAGTCAAAATGAAGCCACAAAATAATCCGCAGAGACACTTGTGCAGTTGTGTGTTGGGCGGGGGGTTTTATGACATGAGGAGAAATTAGGGCAATGGAGCATAAATAGAGAAGATTTAAATACTCAGCATGAGGTATCTGGCACCAACAACTACAGCCTACTGTGGGGATGTTCTGTATTTGTTCTGTTCCGCCTGGAAAATGGGTCAGACATTAGTTCATACATGGGCAAACCACGATGTGACAGCATCTTCGTAGATGAAGAGAAAACATTTAAATTAGGAAACAACTGAATTATTGGTGATGAGAGTTTTTAGCTCCGGCCTCATAATGAGCCATTCAGCTCCGTTAATCAGGGGCAAGGTTTCTGAACTGGGTTCAATTCCCGTGTGATTCCAAGGCCAAACTGCACAGACCTGCCTGGTTTCAACAAAAGGCCTCATTGTGATGTCAGGTCAACGACACAAAACTGTTGTTTGTGACATCGACAAAAAATGTTCCACACGGACGCTGCTCCGATGTCTCATCGGAGACAATTAGTGTCACATTTCATCCCGATGACTCCTTGGGTTTTAATGAAGCTGGAACGACACTGTAGTTTGAGAGTACAGTCGTCCCTCGCTGTATCGCGTTTTGGCTGTCACGCCAGTGCATCGCAGGTTTTTAATACTTTATAGCAGGTTTTTGCAGTATATAACAATTTTAAATCTCCAATATTTTAATTATTTCCATGATAAAATAAGCATGTTCTATCCTAAGAAGAAAAAAAAAACAGTAAAACATTTCGTAACACATACATACAGGGTATAGTGAGAAATAGCCTCATTTGTCATTAAAAGCAACTGTACAATATCAGAAATATATGTGATAAAATACCTAAATATGAAGTATTAAAATGTTGTACAATAATTCTAATTACATGTGACTACAGTCAGAAAGTCACAGACACACAACAGACACATGAAGTGTCCTTACCTCTCCGTTGAAGAAGCAGAATATAGTCGCCACCAGTAAACCCTGTGGAATAATGGAATAACTTCAGTTATTACACCATGGATGTTTGATTGTGATTACATTTATCTGGCGATCCGGCCACGATTTCATAATTGAATGCTTTAATTGTAGTTCTAATAAAGCTAATGAGATGCTAAACTGGTTTCTCCGAAGATAATTCAGCAAATTAATCAATCACTAAAGTCAAGAGACAGAAAACACAGTCTCTGTGTTGGAGTGTGTGAAGCAGGCCAGATGGTGACGTGCCACTACTTAGTGCACAGAACGGCAGCAAAGTACACAGAGACAGACTCCACTGTTTGGTCAGTAAATACTGGGAATATGGAGGTCTAATTAAAGAATAAAGCATGGAGTAAATAAATGAGCACATGGTTAATTAAACTGGGAGCGAAGAAATAGCTGCACAGGGATCGGATCTGTCTGTCGCTGCTCTCTCTGTGTCTGTTGACAGGTTTAATACTTCAGTAAGATATCAAGTAGCATTCTCAGAGTTAGCGATTTTTACACCTGGTACTTGTACCAGCTGTGTACTCACCTGGTAGTGCATCAGTATGTGCATGATGTACTCGTAGACCTCTCCTGCCACTCTGTTCTCCGGCCTCCAGGGAATGATTACAAACTGGATTCCCAGCAGAGGCACCAGGATTAAGGTGGCTCTGACCGCCTTCATGTACATGTTGGACTCTGCCCGGTGTGTGTCCCGCAGCTTGGTCACCAACACTCTTATAATAAAAAAAGGTTCACCTGCAGAAGGGTGGGAAAAGTGAAGCCCAGATCAGGTTTATTGTATAATAATAATAATAATAATAATGATGATGATGATGATGGTGATGATAATAATAATAATAAGACTCTTACCAGAAGAGCTGCTACAATAGGCCCGTGGACGGCGTAGAGCAGATGGGTCTCCACACTCATCCAACAGCTAGAACAGGAAGAACAGCCCAGAGCACACATGAACACAGTGGTATAAAACCCTCTCATGTTCAGACCTCTCTGTCACACACAGCTGAGCACATACAGCAACAAAAACAAGCTCTTGTTTATTTGCAGAAGTTTCTGGAACATTACTCACTTGTCATCAAAGTACTTTTTCCGCGCCACGGCGTGGATGGATGCAGGGACGAGTGGAAAACCTTAGACCAGGGGAGAAAAAAGAAAAACAAGCTGACAGCCATGTGAGGACTTTAGTGAACTTTGAGAAATGACTGTTTCATTTTTAGAACATTAGAAACTCAGGTGAGCTCCATCAGTGATGTTATTCTTAAATGACTTCATCAAATGGACTTTATGAAGGTCTAAACTTCACCGTGTCATTTATTCCGACCTTTAAAAGAAAACGCCGCGGGGATCATTTTCCCGTAACAATACGGCGACTAATGAAAATAAAAAATAGGAGAAACTGGGCTTTTCCTGTTTGAAAATAAACAGACAAACCCATGTACAGTCCATTTGAAGAGACTGCTGGAACCTACAGCATGTTGGCCACAGACGGATCTCACACACTGGCTGTACCTCCCAACCACACACACACACACACACACTCATAGAGTACGTGGCAAGCACAGCACAGGCTTCAAGGTCGTCCATCCATTTTAAATGATGACCCTCCGTTTTTCCTCGCCTGCTCGTTTGACAGGCTGCACTCATTATTCCTGTTCCCAACAAGGCGACACGGCACATCAGTGTCACTTGTGCCGACTGTCCAGCAGAGCTCCTCCAGGGTGACTCTGAGGACACTCTCCATGGTGTAAGTGTCAATTCATTCCAATATCAAACCTGCCTGCCTCCCTGTGGAGACGGCGTCTCTGTCTTTCAACCGTACGTTGAATAAACAGAACCACAACAATGAGAGTAAAGCTCTGAGGACTGTGTTCTGACTGTGTGCAGATGACTCACCCCAGCCCAGCAGGTAGTACCAGTGCAGATGCTGCTCCTCCGCAAACACCGCCACCACAATGAGCGTGTGCAGGTAAATGCCTTCACACAGCATCCAGAAGTAATTGCAGCCCAGCATGTACATGTGAAAGAAGTGCAGCACCTTACAGCCGGCCTGCAGAGACAGCCACCATAACAATGGGTTCTTTGTTTTTCTCTGTATTTTTATTTTTTAATTCATCGTTACATGATGTAGATTCAATTGACATTATCTCCGCAGGATATTGTGATTTACGCTTTCACTTCTCTTCAGGAGATCTGAGATTAAAATGATGTGTTATTTTACAAACTTTGAAGCAGTTTTTAAATATATATTTTTCTATTATTATCTTCACCAACATCCACTAATGCAACGATTATTTATGAAATGATAACCATTATCTCTAGGGTTTTCTGTAGGTACGCTGATGGGGATTTAACCTTTATGTATACGTATATATATATATATATTATCGTTATCGGCATTGCGTTATCCGATAACGCATCGCCTGGGTTAAGCCAATCAAAACAGCTCTCTGCTGCTGTCTATAATTACAGACGATGACCTGGTTTACAAATCAAGACCATGTCAACATTTGGGGGTCTCCTTCCCTGTTTTTGGGACTCGTTCCTCCTTTTCATATCACTTCAGAATAATAATATATAAGAAATGTTCAAACAGAGCTTGTTTTCTCTGAAGGAGTAAATCTCGGCCACAATTTGTTATTTCTAAATCACCTTCGCAGAGACAGGCTAATAAATTGCTGTTTGGCAGTTGTAAATTTGAAAATGTTTCAAAACAGACAAGCCCAGATCCCACTTTTATTTTTTTTACTTGCAGTGTCCTCATGAAAATCCTGGCCGTTTGGTCGGATTTCATTTTGACATGTTGCAATAAGTTAGCGGGCCCTGACAGATCTTTGTCCAGCAGCCTCAGATTTACTACAAACCTTTCTGACAGAAGGCTAATGAGGCATGGTTCAGAAAAACTAAATAGACGTGCTCTGTGTTTCCATTACATTCTTGATGAAGGCTGTCGTTCCTGCCTGCCTGTTGGACATGTCAGGATATGGGTTGTGAAAGACAGCAGTCAGTATGAGCCAAACGCAGCAGGACGCTGAAGTAAACTCAAGCTGGATGTTTCCACTTTGTCGGCCCCCGGACGGAGGTGCTCCGGCTCGAGCGGCGGCCTGACGCTGAAAGTCTGTGTTCAATTTAAACCAACTTCTACAAAAGCAGTAAAAATCAACTCCAATGATTCTGGGTTTAAAAATAAAGGAGTGAATCCTGAAAGATTACACGAGTGAGGTCCTGAGTGGCTCATTCCTGAAAGACAGATTTACTGCCTCGACCTCAGCAGACCTCTGGGATGAAAGGAGGAGGAGGTCAGCCAATTCAATAGGCATGTGTTTGTAAGTGTGGATTTAATGACACCATAAGGCCTGCAGTTAATGCAGAGTTAATGGATGTAGAGAATCCTATTTTAAAATCACATTTTTATTATTAGAACATTTGACACCGTAGTAATAATCCCCTACTGTATTTAAATTTTTATGAATAGAAATTAGCATATATATATATACATATATATATATATATATATATGTACAGTCAAAACATATATTTCAAATATTACTGTTTTTCAGCAGTAAGTGGAACCCCAGACTCACCGGGTTCCTGACCACGACCTCAGGTTTGTTGACCACACCCACCAGGTAAATGATGGTCAGGGCAGAGTTGAGGACGTAGGAACAGAACAGGTTCTTGTGGAGGGTGATCCTCTGGCAGCTCAGACTCCTGTCAGGACAGGAATGCAGTGATCGATGTAACAGAGATGGAAGGAAATAAAGTTCAAATTCATCCAAATCCAAAGGAAGGGAACTCCTGTTTGAATTAGCATTTCAGGTGTTTCTACAAATCTTTAATAATTAGTCTAAATCATCCCCCACATATTCATTCAGGTTGGTTAAAAAAAAAAAATCCCACCAATCTACGAGATGGATTGCCATGAAACGCTAACAGTAAAAGCAAGACCAAGCCTCGTCTTCATTACCGTGACCACCAACCCAGAATTATTAGCGCCATGAAAATCTTGACAGTTTCACAAAGTGAAACCAACTATGAAAATCAGGAATCATTGGAAGTCATTCACTTCCAGTGGCTAATGCGTGATAATGTTTGAATCTGTGCAGCTGTGGTTTTATTTAGTGTTAAACTGAAGAGAGTTTATGGGTTGAATTAAACCTCAGAGTCAGTGTGTTTAACAGAATACTGCCTCCTATAAACACGTCTCCAGTTTAAGAAGCCGTTTCCATTTGCCGCTCGTGGCCAGTGTTGTCTTTTTTTATCTCAAAACCCTCGAGGCTCGTGAAAAAACAACGGGAAGGAGCTCCGTTTCCTCAACCCAAGGAAGGAGAAAAAAAAAACAACAACAACATACAAGCAGACTTACTGTCTCATCGCTCAAACTAAGAAAAAAAAAAATCACAAGTATAAGAGAAAGACGCAGGAGCTGCTGAGAGCTGGTATGGAAATATCTAAAAGAAGATGTCAAGGAGCAGGTCGGACCTTTTGGCCGACGCCGTCTGTTCTGTCACCGCTCTTTACAGACATTCTACCAACTCCTGTTTTTCCATGGAGTATTTTTATCTGGGAATCTTGACAGAGTTGATGCCGAGTCATAAATAACTGATTGCAGCTGTCCACCAACACATACCGCTGTGAGTTGCACATCTGGGTCTTATGAGGAATTAAGCCTCCAATATTTTACATATTCAGGCTATAAATAAGCCATGGCGGGCTTTAAAGAAAAAAGAAAGGAAAGAAAGCCTTTCCTAGCCAGCAGTTTGGTTGTTTTACTGAGATTGTAATTTGTTAGGATATTATCCTGATTAATTGAGAAAGTTGAACTGCTGTGTTACTGTAGGAGCTTCATTCTCAGGAGGTCGGGGGGGGTGGGGGTGGGGGTAGGAGGGTGAATTAAGGCACCTGCCCTCGACATGGCCTCAGGATTTATAAGCTTGTATAAAAGTTTGCAGCAAACCAAGGAGGGTCTGCTTCAACATCTCCTCTGGATAACAGCTGCGTTTAGGAGGTCAGCAGCCGTCACTACATCAACTTTTACTACTGCGGTGAGGAACACGAGGCCGACAGAGTAACTCATCCAAATATTGTTGCAGATTCTTCATAACTTCTCCCTCTAGGGTTTATTTCAGGGTTTAAAAAAAAACCGTATTGTCCCTTTAATAGATATAAAACCAGACTGATGCTAAATTTTTGTGTTGAATATTAAAATGCTCTTTTCTCAGTTTCTAAATGTAACTTCAACAGCCCTTTCCTAATTTGATGAGTTTTTAATCTGATAACAAGGTGACGTCAGGAGGTCAGTTCTTAAAGGGATAGTTTCCTTTTTTGGGGGCAGATGTTCCCAAAGTGGGGGGCGCTTAATTAAGTAAAACTGGATAAAGCAAGGGAAAATAATTTTAACTTTAATTTTTTTTAACTTTACTTTGTTAAATCAAAGGAGGCTTGACAATTATACAACTTATAAAAACTATAACTTTTTCATTATTCTTTTTTTTTTTTTTTTGGTTTATTTGATCCAGTCAAGATTAGAAGTCTTTCCATCAGAAAACCAAAGTTTGCATAACTTTAAAACCTGCTCACACCTTGACACCCAGGATCATAAACCAAGTCATCAATTTTACAACGCAGCCCTGGGTCAATACCTCCATCACCTATTTGTGGCTGCTGTTTTAAATCATTTCTTTAAATTTGCCTCAGGGACACAGATTTCCAAACGAGGCTGCAGTGAATGAGCATTCCCTGCGTTCCCCAGGAGCTGAAGACATTGATTTCCTGTATGGACTTTGAAGCAGGAGCAGTGAGAAAGTTACAGACTTCAGTCAGGAATCCTGAGAGTGAAAAAGAAATGACACTCAAACAGGTGCAGCATGTGTACAACAGAATATGCCATGTATTTTCAGTAAAAAGTACTGGTCTCAGCCTGCTCACTGTGTATTAGTACTTCATACCAGCTGGATTTAAAACCTCGACTTTTCTTTTAATTAAACTTTCGGCGGACGTCACAGCTCTGCAGCTCTAATTCCCAAATATCCCTGAAATTGAGAACAAAACTAAGGCGGCATTAAACTGGTGAACTTTCAGACGTGCGTTAGCCACGCTTAGCAAAGCTGGAGAGTTATTGCAGGTTAATGGAATTCGTTTGCCGCTGACGTGCAGCACAGATAGCTGTAACTTTTAATTAGAGTCAGCAGTGATAATTTAATACCGTGTGATTGTAGTACAACGTACTGCGACCTCTTAAAGCAGCAGAGCGCCGGCCGTTGATGAGTCAACAAACATGTTCGACAGAAATGTGAAAAATCATTAAAGAAACTTGTTCACACGCAAACACTTTCCCTCAACGTGGCTACAGCCCCAATGTAGACGGGAAAAAATGAACTGATTTTGCTGACGGCAAAATAAAAACTGCGACCGTGCGAGTGCTGACCGTGATGAGTAATTAAAAGGCTTCAGTGAAACACCATCTGTGAGTCCGTCGGTTCTGCTGAGGACGGTGCAAAAAGACCCCGAATTATTCCTTTTTGTTCATCATTTTTATGACCATATTATGCTGTGCTGTGGATACAGTCAATATGACGAATAAAGGAAAAATCTGTGCATTTTTAACACAAAACAATTGCCAATGCACTCTTATTTGGCTAAATGTCATGTTGTTTTTTGTTGTTTTTTTTTTACCATAGCCTGAAATCACAGTAATCAATGACCTAGAATAACATGGCCTCAAGGTATTGCTTTTTTTTTTTCTTTTTTTTTTTAAATAAATAATAATAGGAATGAGTATGATCAGATAGATTTATTCATTCTCTGTACAGACATGTTTTGGAGTGTAGTTTTGTATGTTCTCTGTATATATTTCCTTTTCCCTCACAGACTGTGAAATGTTAATAACAATTATACTTTATTTTACTCCATTGAAAACCTCCAGCGTGAAGAGTTGAAACACTGTAAAACTCCACACTTTTTAACTCTGATTCTTCCAGATCAGAGCTGAAGATTTCAGTCCTTACCTGAAGTAGAAGAAGATCGCCAGAGAGATGAGCAGCGACGCTATGGACAAAGCATGTCCCACAATTGCCATGTAAAACAGGATGTAGGCCGACTGAAAAAAAAAAAGAAAGAATTGGGGTTGTTAGCATAATCAGCTAATTACTGTTATCAGCTTCCTTCATTCAAACAGGCAGATGAATAATAAAATCTATCATCAGGATCACTTCAGCTTTGTAGTACTCTTGAAAAAGGGTAAAAGTACATTTGACATAAAAAGGGACTGGAACTGGACCCTGCTGCCGTCTCCTACTGTACTTGTGGTTTTGTGGTTTTCCATTGAAATAGAGGGGCTGCGCCCCCACTTTGGGAACCACAGTGTTCCTTTTTGGACAGTTCTCCATGTAATCTCCTCTGGTAATGTTATAATGTTGAACTATTTCATATTTTGTTTCAATACGATCAACAATGAATGACCTAACTGTGGAAAAGGTCAACCCCTTCCTGTTGACTTCCTGATAGGTCACTTCCTGTTTGGTCACAACATTTGTTTGACAAACATGGTGTGCAACTGGGAGTTCATCTCATCTCAGTCTTCAGCCGTACTAACAACCACGATGTAAGTTTGTTTATCAAAATGTACATGGGTTAAATCATCATTTTAATGGGTTTTTTAAATGTTGTGTTTGACATTAGCCATTTTGTTTTATGTTTGTTTTACAATAAACTATGATTTATTTTCAGTTTTCACCTGGATGGAACCAAAGAAAAGGAATTGTTTGGACTGTACACACAGATGAAACTGACTGATCTCAGGGCCAGCCGTGGAGTCAAAGCACAGTCTGAAGAACAAGTCTGAACAGTAAGTACACCAGAATTTTGAAAGTCGCTTTTTATGACTTTTTATGAGGTTAAATGGAGTCGAACATTGTTGTTATTGGATCAGAATGTCAGTGAAGTGGTTTAGAGAATATAGAGAATGTTTAGAGAGTTTAGAGGAAAATACTGTATCTGATAAAGAAAAGCTTGATGATGTCACCAAGCTTCTGTGGTGGAGTTCTACTCCTCTCACTGGGTTTTGTCTTCTGTTGAATCACACTGACTGATGACAAAAGGAACACATTGTAAAAAGTCTCTGTTTATGGATGTGAAGCTACTTCCATACACATCCTCCACTTCCTTCTCCGAGTTCTATTTCCATCTGAAAATCCTTTTTTTTTTTTTCCTTCTTTCCTGCTTCTTCACCTCGGTCAAGGACTGAAATGAAGTACTTTCCGTTTCGGTGTAGAAAGAAAATCAAATGACAATAGATCGAAACTATTTTCATTCAGGTTTCACTCAAATTTGGTTTAAGCTTTGACACTTCCTGTTCCATTTGACCACTTTTCTAATATAATATTCTTTAACATTTCTTCTAAAACTTTCTGTGTCCCTTTGATATTCAGGACATTACCTACTGTATTCTCCACCTGTGCAGCTTTAATAATGACTGTGTTTAGTGGACTCAGGCCTTAACTGTTCCTGATTGGCCAGTGGACCTCCATTATTATCTTCTGCCGTATTACCACGCGTTGGCCAACAGTTCTTCCCGTGTCTGTTTTACTAAATCAGTCAAATGTGATTCCATCTGGAAGCTCACGTTGTAAAGTTTTATGTTTTCCCACTGCTGTGCCAGAACCTTCAACTGTTCTCCCGTCGGCCGACGGTCCAAATGTCAGCAGAGTCCAGAGCAAAGACAGAACAGCTGAACCACCAAGCTGTGTCCACCCTGCAGTAGCTCTACTACTGTTACTACTACTAGAACTGATACGAATACTTGTTACCTGCAGTTTTGAGTTTGTGTTTTCGATGCAGAGTGTGTAGTTAGACCAGGTCCTGTTGGTATCTGGGTGGCGAAACCACTGGCCGTCGTCCCCACAGTACTTAATGGCCTTTTCTGCAAGTGACCAATAGGTGTGAGAGTCAATAAAGCGTCAAATCTGTCCAGTCAGTCATCCATGTAACCAAGCTCCATTAGAGCTGCTGAATAATTCATCCTCCAAGCAGTTAATATTTGATGCTTCAAGGTCTTTAAAAGCAGGAGTGGATTCATTAGGGTCAGACGGTCATGCTCACCCGTGGGGTCGAAGTCCGGAAAATAATTGGGGCAGTTTTGAGACGTGTAGGTTCCGGCTGCGGTGTCGTCCCAGCAGAGCCAGCCGTCCCAGTTCCGACTGCAGTACAGCCCTGGAACGTTAAATACGACATTAAACCCAAGGATAGTCAAATCTGGGTATTATTTTTACATATATAAGGCAGTATCAATACCTGACTTATTATAAGGTGTATCTCGATTCATTTTCTCGAAGCATTTGTACTGGCTGTCCAGGATTTTCTTTCTCACCATTTCCTGTTCTTCTGGGTTGACCGTGGGGCTGACCGTGGCCTCATCAGCCAGCTGAACCTGGATGTCACCTGAGAGCTGGGCAGCTGCCTTCATTTTAGTGATACCCACACACAAAGACACACACAGACCCACACGGACACAGTCTATCAGCCAGGTTCAGAGAATGAGCAGCGATCGTATCATTAATACGACAAAATCAGTATGCTAATGAGACCGTGGGAACTGTCTTATTCATTTTCATTCTATTTCTTATCAAAATATATTAAGCCGTGCACAGATACAGCAGCCGGTCCTGTGCTGAGTACTTCATTTAGCTAATTACTTTGAGTATTGTCGTGTCCAAAAGCATTGTGGGCCAATAAAGAAACCACTACTAAATGCTGTGAGTGTGAGTGTGAGTGTGTGTAAATTTTTATAGAAAAAAACACTAATCGAGGTCCAAGAAAAAATATTTGGATTTTTTAAAAATACTCTGACTTTTTAGCCCTGGTACCACAGGTGTATTATTGCAGCTTAAGAATATTTATTATTAGCACCACCTATTGTGCCTTTAAGATGTGAGAAACCCATCAGCACTAATGCTTAGTTGCAAAGCCTCATTCCAGAGTACTGTATTCTACGTATTTGACATTCTGTAAATAATTTATAACCTTCATCTTGTTGTTGGCAGCACAGAGGGTGAAGTTAGTCCAGGTCTTATTGGTCTCCGGATGGCGATACCACTGTCCGTCCTCACCGCAGTACCTGGTTGCCTTTTCTATATAATGAAAAATAAAGGAAATAAAAAACACAACTTTCTCCAACAGTATTCAGAGGAGAAGACTTCACCTGCTTCACCTGTGGTGTTCAGGTCGAACAAATACCCGGGGCAGTTCTGTGAAGCGTACGTTCCAGCCGGCGTGTCGTCCCAGCACAACTGACCGTCCCAGCTACGGCTGCAGTACAGACCTGGGCACCGACAATAAATCAGACGCTGACAGGTCTTTATAACAAATTGAATCAACCACACAAGTATTTTGTTTAAAATCTTAAGATATATATATATATATATATAAAAAGAGGATTACTGTACCAGATCTGTTAACAGGCGGCTCTCGAGTTATTTTTACAGAGCAATTGTATTCACTCTCCAGCATTTTTGTTTTCTGTGGAAAAAACAACATATATAAGATATTATACCCTATTTAGACTGAGAGCGTTAAGTAGTGTTGTTGATGCAACTAGGGCTAAACACTGTAGGACAGGTGTCCACTAAATGTACAGTATGTCCACAGAGCAGATGAAGGACTCATTTGTGGGTTTGAATCTCCAGAGTGAAAAGGCAGCGGGTGCTAATGTGCTGCATGTGATGAAATGAGCACGTATTGATCCTTCACCATCTTCCCACAACAAAACTGCTGATCCTCGCTGATCTCTGCTGTGGTGAGATTACCTCACTCTCCACTGCTTTAATCACACCGAGGCATCAGTTTGGGCTGGGCCACTGGGCTGGGCCACTGGGCTGGGCCACTGGGCTGGGCCACTGGGCTGGGCCACTGGGCTGGGCCACTGGGCTAGAGCTGGGACACTGGGCTGGGCCACTGAGCTGGGCCACTGAGCTGGGCCTCTGAGATGGGCCACTGAGTGTATTTAAATGTAGAATGTTTATAGTTTAAACCACCAGATTGTACTGGACAGTAATGGACAGTTATTCTCTCTTTCTGTATCTAACATATGGCTGCAGTCCAAATCTGTCGTTTCTGGCTCTTCCTTGTAAATGTACATTTGTTCCTTCTCTGTGAGAATCTTCAGTCATGACTGAATCTCCACGTCTTTCGCAGACTCGTAACACCATCAACCGTCAACACAGAACTTTCTCGTCCGTCTTTACAGCGTGGTTTTTGTTCTTTAGATTACAACTGTGCTGCGGATCTTAAATCCAATCCTTTGTGCATCTTTGGTTCACTGCTTTGCATTCATTACAGAGGCACGCTTTCTTTGTTCTCAACCATCCCTGTGCTTTTTCTACTTTGTACATTTTCATTGTTAACGCAAAGAAGACGGTGGGAATTGAAGAAAGTAGAAAAGCGGGGCGGATCAGATTTTGACCAAAGTGGAGATGATTTTCTGGGTTTTTTATTAAGGTGACACTCTGTATTTAGTTTAAGATCCTATTGAGTGAAGTAAGGTGTCTCATTTTAACAAATTTAAATTTTAAATTTGTATGTAATAGTCCTGTAAGCAGAACCACAGTTACATCAGAAATAAAAGGATAAAATTACTCCATGTCTCTTCTCAGAAGAAGTTGCACAAAGTGTGTAGTTGGTCCAAATCCCGTTGCTCTCTGGATGGTGAAACCACTGGCCGTCCTCGCCGCAGTACTTAGTTACTTTCTCTGGAAAGGATAATTATGAGATAGAGTTTCACTCAACAGAGGATTTGAGGTAACGTTATAATGTCAGGGTGAGAAAATCAAACTCTCGCTGCTCACCCGTGGGCTCTACATCCTCAAAATAACCGGGGCAGTTTTGGGAAGTGATGGTACCCGCCGGTGTGTCGTCCCAGCACAGCCAGCCGTCCCACATACGGCTGCAGTACAGACCTAGAATGACAGACAACACAGACACATGTTGAAAACATATTCTTCCTCTTATGAAAGTTCCCTTCTGGTGTCTCCACAGTGGATCATCTGACTCCATCTCTCCCTGTCCCCTGACTCCTCTGCTTTTACCCCAATGATCCCCATATCATCTTTAACACATCTTCAAATCTTCTCTAAGGCAACTTCATCTCAACCTGTCCTCTCTAACTTTATCTCCAAGTCTCCAAGCATCTCCTCCAACCATAAATCATAGCAGATCTCACACCTGTGTAATGATTTAATATGAATGAATACCAGGTCTACTGTATTGAGGGTCTCGCTTCATTTTCTCCATGCACTTCTTTTCATTCTCCAGTACAACTCTGTCGACGTCAGCGCCCTCTGTAAAATGCTCTTCCGTCGCGCCCTTTAAGAAATGTTCACTCTCCTGAGGTGGAAAAGAAAACCATGTTTAATAGAAAGCAGGTGGAGGCAGTAACGAGGCCAAGGCTTCATTAGTTTTTAAACAACAATTCATGATTTCCATTTACCTCTAATTTGTCCCGCGACTCGGCCCGACAGGTGGAGCCGGTCTCAACCCAGTTACCTGATTTGTCACAATATTTTGTCACTTTTTCTGTAAAGGAAATGTACAAGGAACGAGTCATTAGCTTATTTCAGTAATCCACCAATGTTTAACCTTCAACGTTTGTTTATTGGATTGGATTTCTAAAAGAATCTTGACACTCATTGGCCGCATCCGCGTTAGTGTCCAGTAACTCCGTATGTTGGCAGGGTCCACACCCATTCATCCAGCCCAGAATAGTAGCTTTGCAGGACAACAGTGATTAATCGAGGCTGGCTCACAGTATTAAACATTTAACTGAAAAAAAAGTGAATAATTTTCTGGAAAACTTGAACTTAAAAAAAATATATCTTGAGTTCCAAACCACATGTACTTGAGATCCATGACTGGGCTAAAAATAAAATCACATTATTCCTGACAACGGCAGCCGTAGCACGACTGCCTGCTCTTCTCCAACACCTCATCAAATGTTCAGCATTTCCACCCGTACATCTCGTCCAAATCCTCAAATCAGCAGCGTTCGTTTTTTAAAATGAGCAGCCATGGGGGACTCTTGATGTCAAAGGCATTTTGGGGAAATTCCTAATGGGATTTCTCCTATGAAAACACCTCAGTGTTCTCTTCTTTACGATCTCTCGCTCCTCATCCATCCCTCCAACTTCCCCTGTCTTTGGTGTAATCCCCGCTTTTAGAAAAAAGACTTTTATAATGTTCGCTCTGTCCTCTCTCTTACCCCTCGTCTTCATCACGTTACATCACCTAAATCTAATCACACTGCTGTTCTTCATCACACCAGTCTAACAGCTGCAGTACATGTAGTGAAAAGCTTTTTATATTCTCTTAAATTAAAGCAGCGTTTCCCAAATTGGCAGCCGCTGTAGGAGGAGGGGAAAGGCCGGCGAGGCAAGAACTGAAGGTGGTTTTAATTTTATTATTTTCCTCATTTAACCCACAGAGGGGACATTTTTTCTCCTATTTCATTTCATTTGTTCAGCAAGATAGGCAGATTTGGAGGAAGCACAGTTTTTCAAATAACTACGTAGATCTGTCAAACGATTACAGTTTTTAATCTTGTCAGATTTCAGTTTCGAAAACAAACAAACCATGAGAAAACGTTCGTACCAGTTGTGTTCAGTCCATGAGGATCTGGACAGATTTGTGTTAGAAATGTCCCCGCTGGTGTCTTGGCCCAGCAAAGAAGTCCGTCCCATAAACGACTGCAGAACGTACCTTCGTAGAAGAAAGTAAAATAAAATAGATAAACACTTTAAAATCCAAACCTCAAATCCAGCTAATTATTTTTGTTCTTGTTGTTTAGATATTTCCTTGTCTTTTTCCCACTTGATTTTGTTAAAGAAATACATTTAGTTTTGGAACAGAGAAAGGATGGAGAATGGGAGAACGTGTTTCAAATTCTCGTCCACCAAGACCCAGTTTAGATTTTGTCAGGATTCGCCGTAAAAGTTTCAACAAAACACTCTGCCTCTGCCATGTGGCGGCCGCTGATAAGCAGACAAGGCAAAACGAATTCTTCTTCTGTGTCAGTGTTATCAGTTCTGGTCCTTTTGTTATGATAATGTCTCAAGTAAAAACCCATTTTTAAGTTCTTTAACTTTTCTGGAAATGCAGTTTACTTGTGTGTGTGTGTGTGTGTGTGTGTTAGGATTATAGTGAAAACAAGCTTAAAATCCTGGGCTCTTAAAGCCCTTGAACTTCAAATAACACCAGCATTACTTCCATCAACAGCAGTGCTCTCACCCTCTTATTGTGATGCTCACCCACATGTAATCAATCTGGACTTAAGAGCTTTAAAACCGTTTGGATTTCTCACCACTTCTGTTGTCTGGGTGGCCTTTGTTGGACAGCTGGAGACAGTGGTATTGACCCTGGCCTCCTGACTGATTCGCTGCCTCCGTCCTGCTCTGTCCCCGTCTGACTGATGGCTCTGTGATTCGCTCAGTGTCTCTCGCAGCTCTGTGCTGTAGATGCAAGACAAATGAGAGGAGACGGGAGGCAAACACGCCCCTTAAACCTAGATGAGAGTGTGGAGGGTTGAACAGGTGAGTGGGCGTCCAGGATTAGAC